AAGAAATTTGGAAGACAGCTACCTGGCCAACCGACTAGAAGAGATCCATATTTGTGCCCATTCCAAAGAAAGGTAATCCAACAGAATGTGGAAATTATTAAGCAATATCATTAATACCATATGCAAGTAGAATTATGCTAAAGTTAGTTCAAAAAAGAGAACTGCCAGAAATTCAGGCTGGATTCAGAAGAGGATGTGCTGGAAGATGAGCCCCTCAGGTTGGAAGGCACTCAAAAGACGACTGGGGAAGAGCTGCCTCCTCATAGTAGAGTCAACCTTAATGACATGGATGGAGTCAAGCTTTCGGGACCTTCATTTGCTAATATTGCATGACTCAAAATGAGAAGAGCAGCTGCAAACATCCATTAATAATTAGAACATGGAATGTAAGAAGTATGAATCTAGGAAAATTGGAAATCATCAAAACGAAATGGAATGCACAAACATTGATATCCTAGGCATTAGTGAGATGACATGGATTGGTATTGGCCATTTTGAATTGTATAATCATATGGTCTACTACACTGGGAATGACAAATTGAAGAGGAATGGTTTCAAGATCTATCCTGAAGTACAACACTGTCAGTGATAGAATAATATCCAACCACCTACAAGGAAGACCAGTTAATATGACTATTATTCAAATTTATGCACCAACCACTAAGGCCAAAGATGATGAAATTGAAGATTTTTACCAACTTCTGCAGTCTGAAATTGATCAAACATGCAATCAGGATGCATTGATAATTACTGGTGATTGGAATGCAAAAGTTGGAAATAAAGAAGGATTGGTAGTTGGAAAATATGGCCTTGGTGATAGAAATGATGCTGGAGATCGCATGATAGAATTTTGCAAGACCAACGACTTTTTCATTGCAAATACCTTTTCCAGCAACATGAACGGCAACTGTACACATGGACCTCACCAGATGGAATACACAGGAATCAAATCCACTACATCTGTGGAAAGAGATGATGGAAAAGTTCTATATCAACAGTTAGAACTAGGCCAGGGGCCGACTGTGGAACAGACCATCGATTGCTCGTATGCAAGTTCAAGTTGAAGCTGAAGAAAATTAGAAGAAATCCATGAGAGCCAAATTACGACCTTGAGTATATCCCACCTGAATTTAGAGGCCATCTCAAGAATAGATTTGACATGTTGAACACTAATGACCGAAGACCAAACGAGTTGTGGAATGACATCATTTATATCACATGCAAGTAAAATTTTGCTGAAGATCATTCAAAAATGACTGCAGCAGTTGCATTGACAGGGAACTGCTAGAAATTCAAGCCGGATTCAGAAGAGGACGTGGAACCAGGGATATCATTGCTGATGTCATGGATCCTGGCTGAAAGGCAGAGAATACCAGAAAGATGTTTACCTGTGTTTTATTGACTATGCAAAGGCATTCGACTATGTGGATCATAACAAATTATGGATAACATCGGGAAGAATAGGAATTCCAGAATACTTAACTGTGCTCATGAGGAACCTGTACATAGATCAAGAGGCAGTCATTCAAATAGAACAAGGGAATACTGCATGGTTTAAAGTCATGAAAGGTGTGCGTCAGGGTTGTATCCTTTCACCATGCTTATTCAGTCTGTATGCTGAGCAAAGAAGCCCAGAAGCTGGACTCTATGAAGAAGAACAGGGCATGAGGATTGGAAGAAGACTCTTTAACAACCTGCATTATGCAGATGACACAACCCTGCTTGCTGGAAGTGAAGAAGACTTGAAGCACTTACTGATGAAGATCAAAGACCACAGCCTTCAGTATGGATTACACCTCTACATAAAACAAAAATCCTCACAACTGAACCGAAAAACATCATGATAAACAGAGAAAAGATTGAAGTTGTCAAGGACTTCATTTTATTTGGATCCACAATCAACCCCCATGGAAGCAGCAGTCAAGAAATCAAAAGATGCATTGCATTGGGCAAATCTGCTGCAAAAGACCTCTTTAAAGTGTTAAAAATCAAAGATGTCACCTTGAAGACTAAGGTGCACCTGACCCAAGCCATGGTGTTTTCAGTTGCATCATATACATGGGAAAGTTGGACAATGAATAAGGAAGACTGAAGAAGAATTGATGCTTTTGAGTTATGGTGTTGACGAAGAATATTGAATATACCATGGACTGCCAAAAGAACGAACAAATCTGTTTTGGAAAAAGTACAGCCAGAATGCTTCTTAGAAGCAAGGATGGCGAGACTATGTCTTACATACTTTGGACATGTTATCAGGAGGGACCAGTCCCTGGAGAAGGACATCATGCTTGGTAAAGTTGAGGGTCAGCGAAAAAGAGGAAGACCCTCAACAAGATAGATTGACACAGTGACTGCAACAAAGGGCTCAAGCATAACAGTGATTGTGAGGGTGGTGCAGGACTGCGCAGTGTTTCCTTTTCTACATAGGGTTGCTATGAGTTGGAACCGACTGGATGGCACCTAACAACAGCAACAAGGTGGATGCCTAGGAATGGAATTGGTGGGTTGCATAACTTTAACTTTTTAAGAAACTGCAAAATTGTTTTCCAAAGTGGCTACATGATTTTATATTCCCACCAAGCAATGTGTGAGGGTTTCATTTCTCCACATCCTTGTCAACACTTCGTGTATTGTCTTTTTTGATTCTAGCCATCTCAGTGAGGGTGAAGTGGTATCTCATTGTGGTTTTGATTTATGTTTACCTGATGGCATTTCCTTTATTAGCCATTCATGTGTCATCTTTTGTGAAATGTCTTTTCAAGTCTTGTGTGGCTTTTAAATGTGCAGCAGCCATGGGATTCCCCGCATGACTTTGTTTGCTAGAACAAGCATGATAAACAAATGAGTGTTCTAAGTCTGTTCCCTCTCCTAGCTCAAGAAAAAGGATTTTGGCTTCTCTAGCTCAGTTTTTCCTCTGAAGGTCTTACCTTAACTGTCCAGTCTTTTTCTTTTTGCTTTTTTTTATTATGAAAATTATGAAGCATTCAGAAAAAGAAAAAAGCAATACAATGAGCTACTATATACCCTCTTATCTAGATTCAGTAATTGTTAACACGTTGACATATTTGCTTTAGCTCTATTTATGTGTATTTTACTGAACCATTTTGAAAGTAAGTTGCATACATCACCTGAGGATAAGGGCCTGTTCCTACTTAACCAACAAATTATCACACCTAAGAAAATTAACAGTAATTAAATGATATTATGTAATAATATTCATATTCAGATATCCTCAGTTGCCTCCAAACATCGTTTATAGCTCAGACTAGTTTTTTTTTCAGTGTTTTATGGAAGAAAGGAGGGAAGTAGAAGGCTGACAGGCTACAGCTAATGGAGGAGACAGGTGAAGAGGGAGGTACAGGAGCAGTTGTGAGAGGTGAAGGAGCAGCCATTGGCGGTTTTGGAGACATGCAAGGAAAGAGCCTACGTTATTTTGACGTTCCGTTTTGGTTACTGAACTCTTTCTTTGACAGCACACTGCTCTGTGATTGGGCCCTGTGGCTGAGGGGTTTGGGAGGGTTACAGATAAATTCAAGGCTGGACTGACAATCTTCTTTCTCATGTGCAGTCAAACTATCTTTCTCAGGGAACTTTTGGGCTAGATATTGCTCTCCAGGCTTCATTTTCTCATGGGCACCACAGACTCAGCATGTCCCAAATTAAATTTATCATCTTTTCCCACAAATCTGCCATACCCCTCTATTTCTCTCCTTGATGAAGGACACACTATCCTTCTGGTAATTCATCCTCAGCTTGTTCTTTGTCCCTCACCCCTCATCAATTTCTATTGAATCTCTGTCTTTACACTGTCAGTATGTCTCCTTCGCTCTGATTTCACTGCTACAACCTTAGCTCAGAGGACCTTCCTTATCTCTTGCTTGGATAAGTACAATTTCCTTCCAGTTGGTATCATTGCCTTCGTTTTCCCTTCTCCCATTATATTATCCCTACTCTCCTGGTCACTTTCCTGCTAAAAAGCTGTCAGTGACTACAGGTCACTGATGTGCAGTGATGTGATAAATGCTGTAGTAGAGTTATGTACACATTGGCATGAGAGCAACTGATTCTGCTTTGCCCAGGTGTAATAACCAGAAGAAGTGACATTTGAGCAGGCTCTTGAAGGATGACAGGATGGTGAGCAAAGGTGCCAAAGCATGAGTTACTTAACCTCTCTGTACCTCAGTTTTCTCACTTGTAATACAGGTGCAATAACAGGACCTATCTCAGGATTGTTATGAGAGTTAGTGAGTTAATATACGCAAAGCATGTGGCATATGGTGAGTACTTTATGGGTATTAGCTATTATCAATGTTATTATGATGAAGAAACAGTGTGGCGCACAGGGGAACACAACAGAATCAGTTTGTCTTCCTTACTTGCCTTCTTTTTTAAAACAAAGGTCACAAACTCTAGTACCTTCAGGGGCCAGGCATGTACTGAAATGGTTGCATGGGCCAGTGGGACTGAAAGCTCTTGCTCCTTTAAAAAGGGGTAGCCACTGCTCAGCCCAGCTGATGGTTATCATGCAGGAATGTGGATCCAATATTGCCAGATATTTTTATTTTTGAGAAAAGCCAGAGATCCAGAATTCTATGTGAACTCTTCCAATTTTTAAATGTTGGTAATTGATTTTGAAAAATTAAAATTCTGTATGAGCCCAGAAGACATCTGTGGGCCATATTTAGTCTGAAGGCCACCAGTTTTTAACCTTTCCTTTAAAGTTCTCCTCTGGAGTAATCTGCTCGAGTACAGCTTGGCTTTTTCCTGGGAATGGGATTAAGTTGCTTTTGAAGACTGGTATTTATGAGTCCCTTTGCCTTGCAGGACTTCTCCAGACAGGTTATGTCACGAGCAGAGGCTGCCCTGAAGCTCCCTGTGGCTCAGAGACTATGTACAAGAGGAATGGTCTGATGGCTAGCGTGTTGGTCACCTCTGCCACTCCACAGGTATGCAGGCTGCGAGGATTGGGGCAGTGAGCAGGGAGGGTCCTTTCAGCTGATTGAGGCCCCAGCTGAGCCATGGACAGCAAGGCTGCAGGGCTCCATGAATACCACCATTCTTAGCACTCCCAAGGCCCCTGGCCATGCTGGGCGTGAGATTTGGGAGGCAGTCAGCCCAGAGGATCAGTATGTTTTCTGAAGTCGTTCTCTTCAAAGAAAAACAAATACCTGCCCTGTCCAGTTGTAGAAAGTGGCACATTCCATTTTGGTGGCAAGAAGGGATCAGACCTTTCCCAGGAAAAGCTGCTGCTGATTATAAATAAGTCACACATTCCGGAATGAAGTCAGACAGAAGCTATTCCAACTGGCCCTGTGTTCTTATTTGCCTTGCTCAGTAGGAAATGGCTGTAAGGACTGGTGGTCTGAGAGTGGCCTGGGCTAGGCCCCCTGCCATGGGGGAGTCGGGTTTCCAAGCTCAGTAATGGAACAGAGGCATGCAGGAGGGGCAGTTGTCATCTGAGGCCCAGGATTGCCACCGTGTCGACTGTGTAATGCCTGGCCCCTGTGGCAAACTGGCAAGGCGCAGTGCAGTGTTCTGAGCTCACAAGGCCCTCATAGTCAAGCTAGGTTTTTGAAATACTATGTGACCAGCCAGAGATTCATAGGAACCAATTTGTTTCTTATAAACCTTTCAAAAAATTCCCTATTTTGATCGCTGGTCCTGAAAGCAGACTTGCGGGTATCTTTAAAATTCCCTGATGATACCAATACAGGTTTAAATAAGGTTGCTATTTTGTCGTCATCGTCATCATCATCATCATCGTCATCATCATCATCATCGTCGTCGTCATCATCATCATCATCATCATCATCACCACCCCAGAGAAAGTCCTCACTCATCACCAGCAAGCTTGTGGGTGGCCAAGTTGAATAATACTGCCTGGGGCTCCTTAAATCTGTACTTAAAACAACTTCTGATTAGACAGTGTCCCTTGTATGAATGTGGGTGTTTGGGGTAGGTGCAGTGTGATGTTACTGGAAAGTTATTGTCATGGATTGAATTGTGTCCCCCCAAAATATGTATAAACTTGTCTAGGCCGTGATTTCCCGAATTGTGTGGTTGTCTACCATTTTGTGATCGAATGTGATTATCCTATGTGTTGTAAATCCTAACCTCTATGATGTTAATGAGGCAGGATTAGAGGCAGTAATGTTAACGAGGCAGGACTCAATCTACAGGATTAGGTTGTATTTTGAGACAATCTCTTTGAGATATAAAAGAGAGAATCGAGCAGTGAGGAGAAGGACCTCATACCACCAAGAAAGAGGCACCGAGAGTAGGGTGCATCCTTTGGACCCAGGGTCCTTGTGCTGAGAAGCTCCTACACCACGGAAAGATTAATGACAAGGACTTTCCACCAGAGCCATCAGAGAGAGAAAGTCTTCCCTGGGAACTGGTGCCCTGAATTCAGACTTCTAACCTCCTAAATTGTGAGAGAATAAACTTCTGTTTGTTAAATCCATCCACTTATGGTATTTCTGTTATTAGCAGCACTAGATAACTGTCATGGATTGAATTGTGTCCCCCAAAAATATCTTATCAACTTGGCTAGGCCATGATTCCCAGTATTGTGTGATTGTCCACCATTTTGTCATCTGATATGATATTCCTATGTGTTGTAAATCCTAACCTCTATGATGTTAATGAGGCAGGATTAGCAGCAGTTATGTTAATGAGGGAGGACTCAATCTACAAGATTAGGTTGCATTTGAAGTCAGTCTCTTCTGAGATATAAAAGAGCAAAGCAGAGAGACAGGGGGACCTCATACCATCAAGAAAGTAGTGCCAGGAGAAGAGCGTGTCCTTTGGACCTGGGTTCCCTGCACTGAGAAGCTCCTAGTACAGGGAAAGATTGATAACAAGGACCTTCCTCCAGAGGGGACAGAGAGAGAAAGCTTCCCCTGGAGGTGACGCTCTGAATTTGGACTTTTAGCTTACTAGACTGTGAGAGAATAAACTTGTGTTTATTGAAGCCATCCACTTGCGGTATTTCTGTTATAGCAGCACTAGATAACTAAGATAATAACTAAGACAGTTATAGAACCAGAAGTCACTTCCTTCCTAAGGAAGTGACTCTTTTTGGTAACTAGCGGAATCAGATTTCTGTTTCCATCTACAATTTACACTCTTCTAAGAGTAAAACTTCTTTCTTGTCTGGTCTATGTGTGTGTGAATATATACATACATACATGAATGTATGTATATGTAAGTGTGTGGTTGTGTATATACATATATGTACAAACACATGTATATATGTACTTATGTGTATATAAATCTGTATCTGTATATCCATATCTATATATGCATATGTGTGTCTGGCACATGGTAGATACTTAATATTTGTTGAATGAATGAATGAATGTATAATTGAAGAGCTCAATAAATTTTGGTAACTGAGTAACACATTTACATATATACACACCCATAATTTAGTACTTACTATATGTCAGGCTCTGGTGGTGCAGTGGTTAAAGTGCTTGGCTGCTAGTTGAAAGGTTGGTGGTTTGAACCCACCAGATGCCCTGTGGGAGAAAGATGCGGCAGTCTGCTCCCACAAAGATTACAGCCTTGGAAACCCTATGCGGCAGTTCTACTCTGTCCTGTAGGGTTGCTCTGGGTTGGAATTGACTCGACGGCAATGGGTTTTTGGTATATATCAGGCAATTTTTTTTTTCTTTTTTTAATCGTGTTCCATAGGCATTATCTCATTTAATCTCACAATAACCCCATCAGGCGTGTACTATTGTTTTACTCCCTCCCCGCATTTTATAGATGAGGAAACTAAGCCATAGAGAGGTGAATAAACTGGCCCCAAATCACACAGCCAGTCCGGGGCTGGTGGGGATTCAAAGCCAGGCCTCTCTGACTTTCCAGCTGGTGCCCCTGACCACACACTTCACTGTCCCTGAATAAAATCAGCCCTGTGACCCTAAATTAGCCTGCTTCCTGAAAGGTGAGTGCAGAAGTGCCAAATTATTTATAAATAATCTTCTGCTCAGGGTCTATGTATAAAGATTGGAAGGTAGAATAGACTGCCAATTCCAGAAGCATTTAGGATTAGTCTTTTATTACTTTTCAAAAGTTTACTCTAAAGCAGTGATTCTCCTCGGGGGGGAAAGTCTTGTCACCTGTGGAACTTCTAAATAGGCATTCCTGAGCCCACCCCAGGCCTGTTGAATCAGCATCTCCTACAAAGGGGGATTCTCCCAGCTGCCTTATAGCCTTCATTTTATATAACCTATACCACAATGCTGGGAAATAGGTTTTAATATTACCCTTTTACAGGTAGTAACTGAGACTCCGTAAAATGAAGTAACTTGCCTGAGGTCAGACAGCAACTGCTGTGGAGCTGGCATTTTAATCAGGCCTGTCTGACTTGAGCTTTTAACCACTATGATATGTTGCTTAAGATCATCTTAAACATTTTTGGTATAGTGGACTAATTTGTAAAACCATTTAATGATAGGAGCCTGTTGAAATCTACAGGTTTAAGTTCCCGTTCATCTTTTTAACCTTACGTTTTCAGTTGTTGACTATTGGTTTCCCTCACTGGCCTAAAAGCACCTTCGTTTCCAGTAAGAGTGCAAAGATTTTCCAGATAGAGCCTTTTTGGAAAGAGTGAAGTAAAGAGGAATTAACAAAAGCATGTTCTCTAAATCCTGGTCCAAAATGTTGAGGTTAATGAAAACCACACAATCCCTCTTCATGAGTTGAGACGAATAAAACCATTTATGAACAGTGCACAGTTTTTGGGTGGTAAGCACCATTGGTTCACAAAAGTAGAGTTTGATGAAATTAAATAAAATTGAAGAGAAGGTATGTTCAACATTCTGGGATCCCCACAGTGTTGGGTTTCATGAAACCAGCCACATTTGGGGAGTTTTAACTTGCTCTTTTATGGGAAACCCTTTCTTTACATGCAAGAGTCACAATGTTCTTTTTAACACAAGGGAGTCTACTAAACATAACTTTCATGCCTGTCTCCAAAGCCAATTTGTTACCTCTCACCTCCTCACCTAACAGGCTTTGAATTCCAAGCTGCCCATATGTGAAATAAGCCACGTGTTTAACAATTTCCTGCACTGACTTCAAGTAGAAAAGAAAAGGTGAACCCAGGTAATGTTTAAAAGGCATAATATAACATTATTTCCTCAGGCCTCGTAAGATGCCAAGGCCTGTTCTCTCTGAAGGAAGAGTGGGTGGTGTTTTTTTATGCCACTGCTCAACTGCCAGCTGGAAGCAGGAGGGTGCAGTGATTTGAGGGTACATGTTTCAGAGTCAGATAAAAAAGACTAGGTTCAAACTCTGGCTTTTCAATTTTCTAGCTGAGACATCTTGGGAAAGTAACATTGCCTCTACTTCCTTATTTGTAAAATGGGAATAATAGTAGTAGATAGTCACAGGGTTGTTATGAGAATTAAATGAGACTTTGCATGTGAAGTGCTTAACACAGCGCCTGAAATAAAGTGCAAAACCATAGAAACTTTTATTATTGTACATTTCTGTCACTCTTGCATCCTCAGTTCTGAGGTTTATAAGTCAGTGATTCCAAGCCAGACTTTTCAGTTGGTGCCATCTTTCCCTGTCCTTTACAGGGCAGCAGCAGCTCAGACTCTCTGGAGGGCCAGAGCTGCGACTATGCCAGCAAGAGCTATGACGCCGTTGTCTTTGATGTCTTGAAAGTGACTCCTGAGGAGTTTGCCGTAAGTAGCACAGAACTGACATGGGTGGCTGAATACCATGTCACGGAGCTGGAGGGGGGTCATTGCCAGGGCTCTTTGTTCAGGTTAGAAAAACCCATATACCCAATGATAGGGGATTGCTGAGTAAAGTATGGTGTATCATTTAGGAAATACTATGCAGTGTTTAAAAGGATGATGTGAATTTAGAAATTATTCACCTTGGAGGGCATACATGATAAATATGAGTGCTAAATGAAAAGAGCAGGTGATAGCATAGTTTAGAGAATAATGCCATTTTTAGAAAGCACGTACAACACATATTTATATAAAAGTCTAGATCTGATATTTACATATTCATAAATATATATTAATAATACATACACATACATATATATTCTCTGGCATCTTATTATTTTATAAATATAAAAGAAACAATATATAGTCAAGCATATTATTTATTGTAGTTTCTGGTTGTAGGATTTCAGAATTTAATATTTCTTCTTCTTGTTTATTTGTACTTTCTACTTTTTTACAGTGACCATTTTCTATAATGATAGACATTATTTGAGTGATTTTTTTAATTATAAATTTTTTTAAATCATTTTTTCTTCAACCAGTGTGTTGCTGTCTGTCTGGCCAGTGGACCATTCCTTGTGATGGAGCAGAGTTGGCTCCTCATTTTGCAGGACTTAGTTTCCTCCTTTTGCACTTTGAAGGTAGAGGGAGTATGTTGGCTCTGGGATTGCTGTGAGTCGGAATTGACTTGATAGCAATGGATTTGTGGATTGGTTTGGGGTGACCTTGGGCCTGATTCTCACAGTCTTGGAATTTCTCTCCAAAACTGTCAAAGTGTTATTCACCCATGCCCACTTCTTTCCTACCTCTCTGTATGTAAGGGTACTTGCCCTCCAGGTTGCCATGGGGGCTGACTGGGCCCTGTCTTGTTGCTCTGCCATCATTGGCTCCCATGATTAGTTTTGCCAGGTCACGCTGAGCCTGGCTCAAGCATTATCTCCTTCAGTGTGTCTGAGGGATCCTTTTAAAATCTGCTTAAAACCCTCTAAAAACCGAGAACCAAACCTGTTGCTGTCAAGTAGATTCCAACTCATAGCAACCCTATAGGACTGAGTAGAACTGCCGGATAGGGTTTCCAAGGAGTGGCTGGTGGATTCGAACTGCTGACCTTTTGGTTAGCAGCCAGCGCTTAACTACTGCATCACCAGGGCTCCTAAAACCCTCTAATGGCTCTTTTATGCTAGAATGAGGTCCAGAGTTTCTCCTGAGGCCTCCACGGTCCCCCGTGGTCTGGCCATGCCTTTTCTTTTGCCCCCATCTTGCTCTCCAGCTACATTGGCTGCCTCTTTTTTCCCCAGACTCACTGGGCATCTTTCTGCCTCAGGGCCCTTGTGCTTATTCTTCCTTCAGTTCTAATGGTTCTCCAGATGTCTGCTCAGTCTCTGTTGAAATGTCCATCCTAAGAGAAGACTTTCACTAGCCTAAAATAGCATCTACCATCTCTGTCTCTCCACTTACTCTGCTCTGTTTTTTCATAACTCTTACTACTACCCAACATTACATTATATAGTAATTTTTAGAAATTGTATAAGGACAGGAACTTAATTTGACTTGTTCATTGCTCTTTCCCAAAGCCAAGAATAGTATCTGGCTCATAGTAGATGCTTAATAAAAATGTGTTGAGTAAATGAATTCAATCCTTACAACAACTCAGTGAGGCAGGTTATTAACTATCGATTTTCTGATATGGAAACTAAGATCCGAGAGATGACTTACTCGGATCATACAGTCAGGTATTGGGAGAGCCAGGTCTGGAACCTTCATATCCTGATGTGAGGAGGTAATAATAAGAGCAGCTCTTATTTTTGAGCACCTACTATGTCTTAGTCTTGTGCTAAGTGTTTTACATGCATTATATAATTTACTTTTCACAACAGCCTTATAAGTGAAGTATTATTATTATTTCCAATTTACTGCTGAGCAAGTTGGTGCTCAGAGAGAAAAGTTACCTGTTCACACAATAGTAATTGTCAAAACTGGTATTTAAAGCCAGGGCTGTTTGACATTCTAGATTAGTGCTATCCAATAGAAAAGTAATCCAAGCCACATAGTTAATTAAAAAATTTCTACTTGCCACACAAAAAAAAGGTGAAATTAATTTTCGTATTTTATTTAACTCAGTATATCTAAAATAGTATTATTTCAACATGTAATCAACATAAAATTATTATTATTTTCTTTTTTTTAAATTGTGCTTTAAGTAAAAGTTTACAGTTCAAGTTAGTTTCTCATACAAAAATTTATACACACATTGTTATGTGACCCTAGTTGCTCTCCCTGTAATGCAACAGCACACTCCTCCTTTCCACCCCGGGTTTCCTGTGTCCATTCAACAGCTCCTGTCCCTTTTTGCCTCCTCATCTCGCCTTTGGACAGGAGCTGCCCATTTAGTCTCATGTATCTAGTTGAGCTAAGAAGCATTCTCTTCTCGAGTATCATTTTATGTCTTATAGTCCAGTCTAATCTTTGTCTGAAGAGTTGGCTTCAGGAATGGTTTCATTTCTGGGCTAACAGAGAGTCTTCCGGGGTCCCTCCAGTGTCAGTCAAGCCATTAAGTCTGGTCTTTTTTTTAGAATTTGAGTTCTGCACCCCACTTTTCTTCTGCTCCATCAGAGACTCTCTGTTGTGTTCCCTGTCAGGGCAGTCATTGGTAGTAGCCAGGCACCATCTAGTCAATATAAAATTATTAATAAGATATTTTACATTCTTTTTTGGAAATCAAGTCTTGGAAACCTGATGTATATTTTACATTTATAGCACTAAAATCCCGTTGCCATCAAGTCAATTACAACTCATAGTGGCCCTATAGGACAGAGTAGAACTGCCCCATAGGGTTTCCGAGGAGCGGCTGGTGGATTTGAACTGCCAACCTCTTGGTTAGCAGCCATGGCTCTTAACCACTGTGCCACCATGGTTCTGTTTATGGCACTAGCCACATTCAGATGCTCAATAGCCACATAAATGCTGGACAGTGTAGCTCTAGAATCTACATTCTTAGCCACTAAGATGTATTGCCTTTTCTTTAGGAGACTTGATGGACCTTGCAGGCTAACAGTCTAACTTTTTCATTCTGTTTGCGTTTGTTGTATTTTTAAGAGTTGCATGCTTTAGCTTCATGAAAGGAATGAGGCAATAATGAGGTTTAAAAATCCCTTTATGGGTGTTCACTGTGTGGAATGGCAGAGAGTTAGGCTGCATCATAGAGCAACAGTGCCTAGCAGGACTCCTTGGTAAGATTATGGGAACAGTTTTCTAGCTCCAGCCCTAGGGCATTGCTTGGCCTGTCCCAGGACCGTTCTCTGAGGCCAAGGAAGACTGCAGGCAAGGATGGTGAATGCTTTGAAGGTGTGGTCCTAAAACTTTGACTTCCTTTGCTAAGCCCAGTGTGTCTTTGGATTAGATGTGAAGCCAGGTCCCCTGGAGTTTTTGGTCTCTGGAGAAGCATTGAAGTTGCCAGGATTCTGTAACTGAGTAAGACCACCCAGTATTTTGTTTTTTTGTCTAATAATATTAAAGAAAGAAAAAAGCTAGGCAAAAAAAGGCTATTTAAAAAATCATTTAAGTGATTTTGGGAAAATGGCATAGTTTTTGAATTTTGCTGAATCCCCACATAAACACATCCAGGACAAGTTGATAGCAAACCCACGAATAACGTTACAATAAACTAGTGATAAGACAACAAACTCATGAAAAGATGATCATGATCATTAGCCATTACAGAGATGCAAATCAAAACTACAGTGAAGTACCATCTCCCTTCCTGCAGAAATGGCACTGATCAAAAAAACAGAAAACAACAAATGCTGGCGAGGTTGTGGGGAGATTGGAACTCTTATCCATTGCTGGTAGGACTGTAAAATGGTGCAACCACTATGGAAAACAGTATGACGCTTCCTCAGAAAGCTAGAAATAGAATACCTTATGATCCAGCAATCTCTAGAGATCTAATAGCAGTGACATGGATAGACATATGCACACCTATGTTCATTGCAGCATTATTCACAACAGCAAAAAATGGAAACAACCTAAGTGCTCTTCAGTGAATTAATGGATAAACAAACTATGGTACGTACACACAATGGAATACTATGCACCAATAAAGAACAATGATGTATCTGCAAAACATCCCACAACATGGATAAATCTGGAGAACATTATGCTGGATGAAATAAATCAGTCACAAAAGGACAAATATCGTATGGTCTCACTTTTATAAAAAGACAAGAATAGGTATACATACAGAAAGCAGCATTCTTTGGTGGTTATCACGGATGGGAGGGGGAGGGAGAGAGAATCACTTTCTAGATAGTAGACGCTTGTTATTTTTGGTGATGGGAAAGGCAATACCAAATATGGATGAAGTCTACACAACTTGAACAAGGTAAATATGACACTAAGTACACAAGAATAAGGGACAATTTTGGTAAATGCTATAACATATACAATTCTGCAACAGCAGTAATAAAAGCCAAAAAATAAGTGTGTGATTACATAGATAGATATGTATGAATATATGTGTATAGGAAGGCATATGTGAGTATATGAGTATGCACGTATAGGTGTATCTGTAGGCATATGTACATGTTTGTGTGTGCTGCAGATACATTCATATACATAATAAAGCACATGGGGGCACAGTTATGGATACTTCCTAGCTTCCTAGATATAACCAAACACCTCGAAGGATTGGTTTACTGGATTTGAAGTCTTAAGAGAGTAGTCTCATGGGACAGCTGGGTCAATTGGCATAACATAGTTCATAAAGTTTATGTTCTACATCCTAGTTTGATGAGTAGCGTCTGGGGTCTTAAAAGCTTGTGAGTGGCCTTCTAAAAGTTTAACTATTGGTCTGTACTCTTCTGGAGCAGAAGAGAAAGAAGGAAAACAAAGAATCAAAGAAGAAACTAGTCTACAGGACTGATAGCCTACATGAATCATGGCCTCAT